TACAAAATTGTAGCCGGATCATTTGGCTTGGAGATTTGAATTATAGGATAGCCTTGCCCTACCGGTTGGCAAAGGCACTCGTTGAGATGCAAAACTGGAGGGCATTATTGGAAAAAGATCAAGTATGATATTTATACACTTCCCTGATAGCTTGTTCGATTAATTCTCGAACAACTATGAAGAAGCTCTGCATTGTTAAATTGATGAAAAAACAAAAATTATTTTTTTCTTTTGACAGCTGAGGATTGAGCAGAGACGAGGCCGAGTTTTTGTTGGGTGGAAAGAAGGGAAAATCTATTTTCCACCAACATATAAATATTCTCATAATTCAGACAGATACGCGGGTGATGATTTGCACCCCAAGGAAAAACGAAGAACTCCTGCCTGGTAACACCTCATTAATATGAAGCTACCATCAAATAGAAGCAACTGAAGTGTTTAGTTGGTGTATAAAAGTCGAACCAAAATTCGAGTCAGAAATTTTAAGATTCTGATTGAATAATGCAGAATTAGATGCATTTGAAAGTACAAAAATTATATGCAGGTGTGACAGAATATTGTGGTATGGTGATGGACTTCAGCAATTATCATACACACGAGGAGAATCGAGGTTTTCAGATCATAGACCGGTTTCTAGTGTTTTTTGGGCCGAAATCGAGTCTGTCCCGAATAGATTGAGAAAAAGCATGAGTTGCTCGAGTTCAAAAATAGAGGTCGAGGAGCTTTTACCGTATTCGCATGGTTTTACCGAACTTAACTTCTTTTGACGTAGGATAATGTGATGCCTGAGAATATCATGTGCCAAAGGTACCTTTTTTTTTTTCTTTTTTTTTTTTAATTTCTAAAATTATCCATTACATAGATTGACATTGATACTATTTTGGGGAAGATGAAGTTTATGATTACTAGTTGTTTTTTGGGAGAATACATGTGAAATACAGTAAATGCATGCAAGGACACTTGCTTATCCTAAAGAACAAATTTTTGACAAGACAATCAAGATTTATAATCCCTTAATTTAATTTAGCATTCAATAATTCTCAATTTTGCCTAATTTTCTTTCACTTGTTGTTGATCAGGTGCAGATATTCACAATTTTGGCTGCTAATTAACTTCACACGACATAGCTGGATAGATTATCCCTAGGATTTTTCATTTTAACAAGGAGACATTAATTTCAGGTGCAGGTTAGTGACAATCCACTTGAAGATGCCAAGTGGGATTATCATGAGTTTTGTTTTGTTTTGTTTTGTTTTCTTCATCATTTATTATTGTTTCTTTTTTTTTTTTTTCAGTTATGAAAGATTCTTTTATTTGTTAGGACAATTAATAGATTCCTTGAGAAGGAGGGACACAGAGCAGATGGTCAACATAATCAGTCTCATTTTCACCTTTTTTAATTTTTCTTTTTTCACTTTGATATTTGTAAGAGAATCTGTGTAAGCTCAGTTGAATCGTATCTCAACCAAGCTATTTCCACTCAAATTCTTCCCTAACAAGATAGGGAATATAATAATTATATTATATATATTATTGTTATTTGTTAGTAGAAAAAATTGTTTTTGGACCACTGTTTCTTGCCAATGATTTTACTGAAAAAAGTAGTTTTCTTGGGTTGCCTCTTGCCTCATCCTCACGTCTATTCTCTGTCTGCTTTTACTTTTCTCTCTGAAAATAAAAGAAAAAGCTACTGAAGCTCCCAACAAATTAGAAAAAGTAAAAGCCGTATTTTTTTTGCAGATAATATACTGTTGTATTCGTTGGGTAAATGATCAATTAAATCTGAAAATGAAGTACATATGAGATCCAATTCGTATATAAAGAAAGAAAAATTATATGGTGAAGCAATATAATAACATGGAGTAAATGTGTTGTACACGTTTTGGTTCTTACCACATTATTTAATTATAGGTAAATAAAATATAGAAGAAAAAGTTAGCTGTATTGTAAATAAATGACGAGGCAAGGAAAAAAAAAAAATCTTAAAAAACTTAATTATTTTTCATTTTTGGGTGAAAACAAAGGTATTTTCAAGCATTTTTTCCTGGAATTCCCTTAATATCTTTTTCAATTTTCTTTTACACAAGTTATTTAACAGACATTTACGTGCTCCAAACATTACTTTTCCTGAAGAGGCAAAGACTGAGAAACCTTGCCCACGCTTTGTATACACCAATTCTGCTAATTTTTTATTTTCAATTTTTTTTTTCCATTAAGTGTCCAGTCCAATTAATTTAATTAATCACCTGACATGAATATTTAAACAATAAAATACCATCACATTCTTAAATGAATTTTTGAAATTATTGCATGTTAATGTTCTTGAAACATAATGGTGATTGTGGCAGGAGGCAAAAAGAGGCATGGCTGATAAATTCTTTATATTAATGGCATCTTTTTTATTCATTGAGATGGTTTTTATTTTCTTTTCTTCTACTGTGGGGTAAAATTTGTGGACTTTTTTTATAGTGCCAAAAAGTTTACAGTCATAAGACTGTACAGTAATAATTGCCTTGAGGCGTGCAACATTCTTGGTTTTCGAGGTGCTGTGGGCTTACTTACACTGCATTTAGATCAAGCTTAGGTTTAAAGGGATTAAAAATATTTTATTTTATTAATATTATATATTATATATGGTGTTCTTGAGCTTGCACTATGATCGACATAATTGTAAGATACACTGTTATATGTCCCTCAATTTAATGGAAATGGAAACACGAATTATATGTCCAACTTGTTACATATTTATTGCAAAAATAGATTTATAAAATTTCATACTTTATGTTTATATTGTTTCAAGAACATGATTATCTTATTTTGGAAGTATGAATATTTATTGAAAAATATTGTTGCCTAACGGTAAGGTTTGCACCGCTTTAATCTTATTGAAATGAATAAATGTTAGTATCTTTAAATGTACATCTTGACTCTATGTTTTTTTTACACGCACATATACATTTTATTTCTTTTATGCAGAAAGATAAATAATTATACATTCAAAGCAACTTCAAGACATAACGTAGTGATCCAAATCTCTAAAGTTGAAGGACCAAACTTTGATAGTTTGCTAAAAACATGTTAATAACACCAACAGGGTTAAATGTTAGTTTTTGATTAAGTTTTGTCCCACATCGAATGTATACCAAAGATGTGTAGGATCTTATTAGTATAAATAGGTCCTTTGCCTTTGGGTTACAATTGCACCTTATTCTATTCTCTCCTCTCTTGGTAGGAAATCCTTATTTAAGGAAATCCTAATTTGTGGGTTATTTAACCCTAGTTGTATTTTGTTGGTGAGTTGAGTAAATTTGGCGTTGCGGTTGGCGGTGCCCGGAGACGTAGGTTATTTTCGCCGAACTCCGTTATCAATTTTTGTGTCCTTTTTATTTCTTGTCTTTTATTTATTTGTGTTGGCTTATTTTCGTTTGGAGTAGTGCTTGCCATATTTGTTGGAGGGGTATTTTTGTCCGCTGTGTTTGGTGTTTTACCCCAACAAGTGGTATCAGAGACGAAGGTTCGCCCTAGGCTTATTCGAAGAGGCGAGCACTGCATTCGAGTTCAAGATGTCCAAGGAGGTCAAGGGCCCATCATCTGCATTCATTCCGGCAAGGACGGTGATGCCGAACGTCAGGCTCCCGGTGGAGATCTTCGATGGGACCGGGCATTTCGGCATGTGGCAAGGCGAGGTGCTGGATTGTCTATTTCAGCAAAGCGTCGACATTGCAATTGAAGAAGAGAAGCCAACTGACGTTGAAGAGAAGGACTGGAAGAATATCAACCGCTTAGCATGTGGAACAATTAGTTCGTGTTTGTCGAGGGAGCAGAAGTACGCGTTCAAGAATGAGAATTCTGCTCACACTTTGTGGAAGGCTTTGGAGGATAAATTTCTGAAGAAAAGCGGCCAGAATAAGCTCCTCATGAAGAAGCGATTGTTCCGATTTGAGTATCGGCATGGCACATCAATGAATGACCACGTCACCGCATTCAATCAGTTGGTTGCAGATTTGTTGAATTTGGACGTCACATTCAGCGATGAAGATTTGGTTCTAATGTTGTTATCATCACTTCTGGATGACTTCGAGCACTTGGAGACTACTCTGCTCCATGGGAAGGACGATGTAACTCTTGCAGTGGTCAGTTCTGCTCTGTATAGCTACGAGTTGAGGAAGAAGAACAAACAAGAGACGAAGAATGCAGTAGCAGAAGATGAAGCGTTGATTGCAAGAGGTCGGTCGAAGAGTCAAAAGAAGAATGGACGAGGAAGATCACGTTCCAAGGCCAAGCTTGAAAAAGACGAGTGTGCTTTCTGCCATGAGAAGGGACACTAGAAGAAGGACTGTCTTAAGTTGAAGAAGAAAGGCAAATCTCCTCAAGATGCATATGTTGCTGAGGGTGGAAGTGAAGACTCAAAATTTTCACTTGTGGTTTCACCTTCATCATCTCATCCAGACGAATGGATTTTGGATTCAGGATGCACCTACCATATGTCTCCCATAAGGGAGTGGTTCTTCAATTTTCAAGAGATCAATGGAGGGGTTGTCTACATGGGTAATGATAATGCTTGTAAGATAACCGGGATAGGTTCAATCCGTTTGAAAAATCGCGATGGTTCCACCAGAGACGGATGTTCGGTACGTGCCGAGTTTGAAGAAAAACCTCATCTCATTAGGAGCCTTGGAATCCAAAGGCTTGGTAGTGACTTTGAGAGATGGAGTTATGAAGGCTACATTCCGCTCGCTCGTGGTGATGAAAGGCATCAGGAGGAATAATTTGTATTACTATGAAGGTGATACAGTTGTTGGGACAGCAACAGTAGCAGATTCCACCAACAAGGAGTCTGAAGCAGTCAAGTTGTGGCATATGCGATTGGGACATGCTGGTGAAAAATCTTTGCAGACATTGGCAAAACAAGGATTGTCGAAAGATGTCAAAGTGTGCAAATTAGACTTTGTGAGCATTGTGTTCGGGGAAAGCAGAAGAGAGTGACGTTTGGAACGACTATCCATAATACCGAAGGTGTCTTGGATTATGTTCATTCGGATGTTTGGGGACCTTCTAAGACCCCATCATTAGGCGGAAGACGCTATTTTGTCACTTTCATCGATGACTTTCCCAGACGCGTTTGGGTGTACACTATGAAGACGAAGGATGAAGTGTTTGGTGTCTTCATTACATGGAAGACGCAAATTGAAAATCAGACTGGTAGGAAGATCAAGGTCCTACGAACGGACAATGGTGGAGAATATACAAGTGATCCCTTTCAAGAAGTTTGCCAGAAAAATGGCATTGTTAGGCACTTCACCGTCATACGGACACCACAACAAAATGGGGTGGCGGAGCGCATGAATCGAACATTGGTGGAGAAAGTTCGATGTATGTTGTCCAATGCTGGTTTGGGCAAGGAGTACTGGGCTGAGGCTGTAACATACGCGCAACACCTCATAAATCGTTTGCCGTCATCTGCAAAAGATGGTAAAACACCGTTGGAGGTATGGTCGGGGAAACCTGTTGCTGACTATGGATCAAGTATTTCATGCAAGAACGAAGCATATTGATGTTCGCTATCACTTTGTGCGGGAGATTTTAGAAGATGGAACCGTTGTGTTAAAGAAGATCAAGACGACGGAGAATCCTGCAGATATGATGACCAAGGTAGTGACAGCAGTCAAGTTTGAACATTGTTTGGACTTGACTAACATTCTGCATATTTGAGTTGGCGCCGTGAGGCGCATTTGGAGGCACCGCCGGCAGTTGATTTGGATTGAAG